CTGGCGAAGGTCTCGAAGGTCTCGGCCTCATCTGTGCCGAGCAGGGTGGGGTTCGGCATCTCCAGGGTCCGACCTGGGTCCCCCGCACCACAGGCCCTGCCGAAGCCAGGCTTGGGGACAGATCCTGTGGGACAAGGGAGACTTAGCAGCAGAAAACCAGGGACGTGGAGCAGATTTTACAGGGGTGTTTGAAGGTGTGCGCTGCCTCCTGAGAGGCGTGGTGTGCAGCAGTCTTCACACAGCAACGCTTATACTCAGACACCAGCAGAGCGAAAATCACAGTTACAGCAGTTTTTATTAGATTAACAGGACACAGGTTTTATTATTGAGGGAACCAGCCCTGCTACTTGGGGTTCACTGCAGGGGATGTGGTACTTTTTTGAGCGCTGCACAGGAAAGGCCTGAGGACTCAGCTCCTACCCTAGCAGCTCTCCGAGAGCAGCCCCTTGACCAGCAGAATCAGCACCACCTGAGAACTTGTGAAAAAAGTGAACCCTCAGCTTCGCTTCAAGTCTATTGACCCACAAGCTCCTATGGTAAAAAAGAAAAGAAAGAAGCCCACCGCAGGGCACCTTGTGTGAGGGGCCTCTGGCGTCTTGGGTGCCTGTCACCAGGATCTCGGCTGTGGAGTCAGAGCTCTGCAGGTCTCCTGGGCCCAGCACCGTGCACGCGTGCCCTTCCTGTGTGGCATCTTCCAACCACACCCGAATAAATAGCTCAGTGAGGAATAGTCAGTGCCCTCCTGTGTCTCGGCCCTTACAGAAGGGATAGCAGAAGCAGGTGTTGAGGTGGCCCCGAGCCCAGCCAGTCCCTCTCTCCATCAGGGCCATGTGGTCACCCGCAGAACTCGGGGTGGGACTTTCAGAGCAGGCACCTGTCACCGGAAGCTGGGTCCCAAAACCCCAAGAACCAGGGACTCTCCTTGGCTCTTTGTGTCGTGATGAAAGATTTCAGACCAGACCTGAAGGCGGTCATTGGAGTATAAGTAGCTGCAGGAAAGGGATGGAAATTTTTTTTTTTTTTTAATTTGAGACAGGGCTGGCCCAGAACTCACAGCAATCCTCCTGCCTCTGCCTTCCAAGTGCTGGGGTTACAGGTATGCGCCACCACACCTGGCTAGAGCTGGATTTCAGAGAGATAGAGAGAGAGGGAGAGAGCACCCTGGGCGCTAAGGGGGCCAGCGCCAAGAAGACAGCACAGGCCGCACTTCCGCGAGTAACTGGGTCTGCGGGGAGTGGTTCTCTCCCTCGGAGGAGGCCGCTGTTCTCTTAGGAAGAGTGGGCTGTGCTGACAACCGGAGGCAGAGGCGCCCTTTGCTCTGAGGTGGAAGGGTTCTGGTTCATTGGCTGCACGGGCCCAGGATCTTTCCAACCCTCACCCAAAGCAGGGTCTTTGCGTCCGGCCCTGGCCCCCTCAGCCCACTCAGAGAATCTTACCTTCTCCTGGGCGAGGCCTGCAGCCATGGGCACGTGTGGATTTTATCCATAGCTAATGATCCAGTAGACGAAGGAAAAGGGAAAAACAAATCCCATCTTTCCTTTTCAAGAAGCCCCAGCCAGTCCCTCCCCCTCTGCTCAGGCCCTGAGCCCCTGCTCCTGGTGACCCTGCAGGCAGAACACCGCACCCACTCGTTTGCCTCAGCCCCCCACAGCTGGGTCGCGTCTGCCTACCGCAGGGGCCCCGTTGGTTTCCAGCCACGGGGAAGAACCTGCCTTTCCCTGCCCTGTGCACCTGTCTGGCCCCTAGCCGGCGGCACCGCTCCTGGAGCAGGTGCGTCCCCTCAGGTGCCCACTGGGTTACGGGTGTGGGTGCTGCCTGCCCTGAGTAGTCTGGACAGGATAAAGGGGCAGAGCCCTGCTCTCTGCCACAGGCAGCAGCCGGAGGACCCGAGGACCAAGGCATCGGCCCCACCCTGGCCTGCTGCGGCTTTGTCTTTGGGCTCCCAGGTTTGGGACCCTGTGTAAACGTATCTCTTCTCCTCCAGGACCCAAGGGCCAGGCTGCAGGACAGAGGCCATGCTGGGCTTCTGGTTAAAGTCACACAATCCAAGGGGTGCTTGCTCTTTGGTGGCAGCGAAGAGCTGGTGACAGCTGGCGATGTCTGTGACCACCTCCATCCACCTCGGGGTCTTGTCATGTGGTGAAGGACGAGAGGAGAAAGTGAGTGGGAAACCACGAGGCCGCCAGCTATGGGGGCTCAGGCCTGTAATCCCAGCACTCGGGAGGCTGAGGCAGGAGGACCACGGAGAGTTGGGGGCTGTTCTAGGATACCTAGTGAGTTCAAGCCCAGCCTGACCTGCATCATGAAGCCCTGTCTCAAAAACAGAAAAAAAGAAAGAAAGGAAGGAAAGAAGGAAGGAAGGAAGGAAGGAAGGAAGGAAGGAAGGAAGGAAGGAAGGAAGGAAGGAAGGAA